TGTAGTGGTGTCCTGAGGTGTAGTGGTTCAGTCTGAAGGGTGGTCTAATTTTTCCCACAATCCCTATAAAACCCAAGGAAAGGGCTCCTTCCCTACTCCCTCTGAGCCCTGGGCTTTGGGATGGGAGAGAAGTTGAGGTGAGCTGAAAGAGCGCCCCGTGTACCTGCACGACGCGTAAGGATGAGGACGTAGCTTTCCACCTCCGACAGCGGCGGGTTCCACTGCAGCAGTGCCTCAGTGGGAGTGATGTTGGTGGCTGTGACCCCCAGGGGGACATCCATGGCTGCACAGGGGAGAGATCCAGAGAGTCAGAGGCACTAGGAGACTGGACTATGAACTGGAAGGGTTCTTGTGGCATGTTGCTCTATGTCCTGCCCTGCTGCCCAGACACATATGCCTGCACAGGAGTTAGTGCTGCCCAAGCTGCAATGCAGAGATGTCGTAGCTTGTGTTACTCTGCTACTGGGCTGCTCTTCCACTCTTTTCTAGATACCCAGTCTGGCTTTGAGGTTTCTTTAGGCTTTGAGGAGTCTGGGGATAGCAGAAGGTTTTGTTCTTGCAGCAGATGCTGTTTGTGACAGGGCTTCCCTAGGGATTATTTCTGGAAATCTGTACTCTGTTTAGGAAAGGTTGTCATGATTGCCCAGCATCATGTTTCTGGCTTCACTGTGCCTGGTACACAGGTTTATCACTTTTACCCATGACTACCCATGCATATTTTGGATAAACTTTGCTGAGACATACTTCAAAAGCCCACACTGAGCCCTTGTGAGCCCTGCTTTATCATCTCCAGCTTGCATCTGGCTGGTGGGAGGTCCAGCTTGCTCTCAGTCACCTCAATATTAGTGCAAGCAGGGACTGCCAGCCCTGGGCAGGGCTGGACCTGACACTATTTGATTGTTCCCTGCCCACCAAGAGCTCCTTCCCACCTGTGTACGCAGTGATGGAGGCCAGCTCGCTCTCCTCCCGGCCCCGCACGCTCTTCACCCCAATCTCATACTTGGTGGCAGGCTGCAGGTCCTGGAGGGTGTACTCGGTGGCATCCCTGGAGATGGCCATGCTCTCTGTCCTTCCTGTAGAGATGGAGCCAAGAGCTTTGATCACGGCTGGCCCCACCCCTGGGGCTCAGGAGGGGCTTGGGAGGGGAGGACAGTTCCCCAAGGCACTGGAGGTAACTGGGTTTCGTGCCTACAGGTGCACTCCTGTGTGCCCATCACTCTGCTGGCCTGGCCCTTTCAGCATCATCGACAAAATTAGGGCTGAGGGAGATGGGGTAGTCAAAACAGATGAGGGAGCTTCGATTTCAGGATTGAGCCCTGAATTTAACCTTCTCTAGAGAGGGCACACTGCTGGCAGCCATTCTGTGTGCCCCTCTGTGCCGAGCTGGCTGCAGTGGTCCCTTCCCATCCTCATCCCTGTCACCCCATCCTGTGCCCTGGAGCCAATCCCAGTCATTGGTCGCTTTGCCCAAGGCACTGAGATTCTGCCTGGGTGAGGATGACCTAGTGGCTTGCTTGGGCCAGTGGATGGAGAGAGGGTTGGCAGCTGTGAGCTCAGGGCATGAACAGGAGTGGTCTGGCCCATTACCTTCGGCAGCACGGTAGGATATCCTGTAGTGGTCGAAGGCAGCGATAGGAGCACTCCAGTAGACCATCATGGACTCCTGGGTGACGTTGTCCACCCTGAGGTCCTTTGGTGCATCGATCCCTGGTGAGATGGAGCACAGAGAAAAGCTGTGGGAGGCAGGTCCACTCCCCGTGCCCCTGCCCGCCCTCCCCGGTGCTGTCCCGTGCTTGCTGGGGGGTGTGCCGTGGTACCTGTTGTGATGGAGCCCACGACAGGCTCGGAGCTGATGGTGCCGTGCACGGCCACCAGGGACACCAGGTACTCGGTGGAGGGCTGCAAGCCCATCAGGCTGGTGTGCCTGCGGGTGCCATCGAGTGTGACCTGCTGCGCCTCCTCCTCCTCATCCCGGGGGCTGTAGGTGAGGATGAGGCGGTCTGCTGGTGGGGATGGGTCACTCCATGTGACATTCACACTGGAGGATGTCAGCTGGGAGAAGTGCAGCTGTGAGATGGGCCGAACACCTGGAAGATGGAGAGGAGAGATGTAACCCCAACAGATACTGCAGATCCTTACCTCCCCGCTTTTCCCAGTGCTTGTATGGAAAATACTTAAAAGAGGTGGCAAAACTGAAGATTTGGGCTCTCCATTGATCTGTGATCAACCAGCAGGTCCAGGAGGGGGAAAATGGTGCTTTTCTCAGCTCCACCTGCAAACATCCTCCATCCCAGACCCATATGGTGGGTGATGGAACTGTCCCACTGCAGATGGTATATTTTGCCTGCACTTCATGGCTGCAGACTTTTCAGCCAGAGGTCCTTGTGAGGTCCCCCAAGGCTTCATTGCTTCTTCTTATGGCCACACAGGCCACCCTGACGACAGAGGAGAGCAGAGGCTGTCTGTTTTTCCCAATTCTGTCTTGTCCAGCAAAGCAAGCGTGTTCAGCGCTGCTGGCCAAAGGGATTGTGCCACCACCTTGGTAGGGCCATCCTCCTTTTGAGGTCAGCTGCTCCTGTGTGGACACATTGACCCTAGCTTTCATCCCCATCATCACCTCAAGGGTTTTGATGCCAGGGATGCACTGGGCTGGCAGAGATGCCAACAAGAGAACAGTTGTTCTTGTGCCCTTCACAGCATCTTGTGCCCTTGCCCCATCCCAGCCTGTGTTTCTGTACCTGTGAAGGCATCCACGGTGGCCTCCAGGCTCTGCTGCCGTCCCCTCTCAGCGATGATGGAGATGGTGTACTCTGTCCCAGGCTCCAGCTCTGAGAGGGTGAGCTGTGACTCGTCCCGGGACACTGTCACTTCAGAGGCCATTCCTGAGGCAGGGGTGAAGGTGATGCGGTAGTGGTCGATGGGACCCGTGGCTTTGGTCCAAGCCAGTGAGATGGACGTCTCAGTGGAGGCTGTCACCAGGAGGTCCCGGGGGCTGTCAAGCTCTGTGGGAGAGGGTTGGTGCAGAGCTTTGTCCCCATGCACAGACTGTCCTATGGGGGCATCTGAGCCATAGGAGCCAGCTGCACTTGGAGAAGGCAGTGGGGCCAAACTCACCCGTCCTGGCATTCATGGTGGCTGGCACACTCTGCTGGCTGTCCATCACGGCTGAAATCCCGATGCCATACTCCGTTCCCGGCACCAGATCTGCCAGGGAGTGCAAAGAACACGACGAGGTTTGAGAGCAGCACCTGGCAGGGTGACCTCAGGATGTGTGTGACCCCTGCTTCCACCTCCCACTGGTGGGGGCACAGAAAAACCCTCCAGGGCATCCCTGGGGTTAGCAGCTCTCTCTTCTGCACATTGCAGAACAGCTGAGTCTTTTCAAAAAGCCCTGTGGAGCCTTTGGACAGGGAATTTGGGTTATTTTAGCTCAGAAACAAGCCATTTTTAAAAGTTGTTGCTGAGGTCTGTTGCAATTGCTGGCGGTGAGACAGAAGCTTCTGTGTGTATGAGCTGAGATGGGAACGATAAAATAGCTATATTTCTTTCAAACTGATGTAGCATAAAATATTGTCACAGGGCTGGTGTCTTGGAGAGAAATAAATTATGCAGAATAAATGAAATGCACATTAATTGGGAAAGGTGCAGTCTTTCTGGGAGCTGTTGCTTGGGGTGGACATATCCTGAGGTGCCTCTCTCAAGGAACTTGGGAATTGAGCTCATCCAGCTCCTTGCCTCTTGCACTGCTTTATCTCCATGGAATATCTCTTACCTCTGCCTGTCACTTCTGCCTGGCTGCTGGTGGCTTTATTCCCCTCTTCCCTGTGCTTCATGATCTTTCTTACAAAGCAAGAAAAAGCCATAAACTCTCCAGCTCAGCCTCACTGTGCCTCACCCGGGGGCAGCATCCCCTGGAGGCACCAAAACCTTTCCCAAGAGGTCAGGAGAGAGGGACACTCTTCCCCCTTCCCCCCCCCCCCCCCCCTCCGCTTTTCTCTTGGTACAATGCAGTCTTGGGGATGGGGAGAAGATGGACCCCCTTGGCCCTGCTCAGTAAGTGTCAGAAGTATTCTGGAAAGAAGAGCCTGGCAGAAGGGAAAGAGAAGGAAGAAATGAGCAGGAGGATATAAACCTTTTCTCTCCCAGCTCTTTTGGGATGAGCAAAATTATGGCTATTTCTGTGCAAATGCTGATTTTTAATAGAGACTATGGACCAGGGCCAGGCTTGCTGCACTTTTAAGTGTAAATCTTTGATAAATTCTGCTCAGTGCCATTCCTCACTGCTTGTCCTGCTGGTAGATGAGATTGGCTGAAAGAATTGCTGGTTGCTTTCATACCATGGATCCCACCAGGTCCTGGGTGACTGGGAAAAAAACCCAGTGGGTTTTGTATAACATCCAACAGGACTGCAGGATATGACTACTCTGCACGTAACGGAGCTAGCAGAATGGTTTTTTCATTATTTTCTGCAATGACTAGGTTGTTTTGTTTTGTTTTGTTTTGTTTTAATTGGTTTGTTTATGACATAGTACACTGGGGACTGGGAGCAATACATTTGTGTGATGATGGAGGTGCCATATAAAAAATCACTTGCTGCAAATGACTTAAGAATCTGCGTTTCTGCAGCTTTCTCTGGTTGGGTTTCTTGCAGCCTTACCTGAGTCAGGAAGAGCCTTTTCAGCTTTTTTAGTTTTATTGAGAAAAACAGGAGACTTCAGGCTCTTGCCATATATTTCAAGGCAAGCTCATGTCAAGCTATGGATATCATCTCAGTGTGTGTCACTCTTGTGCCTCTGCCGAGGGAGGGGGATTTGGCCCATTTTTAATTCTTCTTCTCACCTAGAAAGCCAATAAACGTCCTAAAGGAAAGCTAACGGGAGTCCAGCACTGACTCTCTGATCTCATCTTGCTTCTCCCCACACATCCTCATCAAGAGCACAGAAGAAACCAGCCCTGATGTTTTTCTTCTTTCTGCATTCCACATTTTTCAAGATAACTGCTCTAATTGCCTTACTGCTCTCCAGCCTTTCTTGTGACTCTGCTGCTGTGCCTGTAACTTAACTTTTGGCTTTCCCACTGACCTTTCTCCTTTAACTTCATATGGCAGATTCCTGAGCCCTTGAAGGTCCTGGGGAGGCAGAGAGTCAACATGGAAGAACCTGGTGTCCTTCCCTACTGAAGAACTTCAAGATGAATGAGAGAACATTTTTGCATATGATTCTTTTCTTTGCTCAAAATGTGCCACCAGAGCAGCAAATCCATGAGGTAAGCAGTTCTAGTCAAAAAGGAAATCACATCTCACATTGTGCTTTGCTGTGTTGCTGCATAAGGTGTTTGGGGCTTTCCTGGCAGTGGGAGGTGGGTGGTGTTTGCAGCCCCTATGCTGGCCTGAATAATGTGCTACATAAATGACTTGCTCAGAACTTGCTCAAATCTCTAGATTTGGGTCTGCTTTGAACCCAGTTTGGAAAAAGGCAAAAAACTCAGGCAGCCTTGCTCCCTATCGCTGCCCATGGGGCCTCATCACCCATGGCACAAGCGAAAAAGAGAAGGGTGAAATAATATTTCCCTGTAGATCAGCCTAAACAGATTTCTTCCCATTTCTCACTTTGCTCCTTGCCAGCTCTACTTTCCACCTGGACAAATCCTTGCTGGAGGTGCATTACTTGGAGGTGTACCCAAACGCACACGGGGAAAATGAGCTCTATCCCAAGGAAAACCTTCTCTCCAGTAAACTCCAAAACAACCTCAAACACGTCCCAGCACCAGTGCAACTGAGTCTTGGTGCTGATTTGTGTTCTCCATTGCCCTGCCTGCTTGAGAGGAGGAGGATGAGGAGGAGGAAGGGCGCGTGGGTGCAGGCATACCTGCGAGGGTGGCCCGGGTGGTGGGGCCGGTGTCGCGCGGCACCAGGACCTCGTGGTAGTGCTCCCCGGCCAGGGTGCTGTAGACCACCCTGTAGCTGTGCGCCTCGGCCTCGCTGTTGTCCCAGGCGAGCTCGAGGCTGGCGGGGCTCCGCGAGCCCACCCGCAGGTTCTTGGGGGCATCGATCTCTGCACAACACAAGGGAGAGAGGCGCTGTCTCACCGCTGGGGACACAGCCCTGCCACGGTGAGACAGCCGTGCAGGGGTTCCTGGGTGGGACATCCAGGAGGTCCCTCCTCCCCAGAGCGTGTCCCGCCAGGAAGGGCTGGAACACTCTCACCTCCTGCTCAGCACAGGCTGTGAGATGCCACCCAGGAGGGTGATGCAGATGCTGGGCACTCACAGCATCCTCAGTAAGTTGGTTTGGCAACTAGTTCCATGGTATTTAAAAAAGAAAACTCTTTTCCCCGGTATTAGTGTAAAGAAACTGAGACACTATGAGAAAAAGGGCTCTGTAGTAGTCATGTATTGGCCTGAACAGCTCTTAGTTGAGAGCATCTTTACAGGCTCATTCACACTCAGACATTGCCCAAATGGTTTGTTTATTGGTGCTGCTTAGGCTGTGTACTGAATCTGCTCTGGTTTGCACAATAAACCCCTCCAGTGAGCAACAGCTGGGGCTGGACACCAGCAGACAGTGGGTAACGGTGATGGATCTGAGTTTGGGGGGGTATTTTTATGTTGCCTTTTAGAAATAAAGCAAGGAAGGGCAATGCAGCAAATCAGTTGGGGTAAGCATCTCATCTGAAATATTTATATATAGAGATATGTACACACACAATTCACGTACCACAGTTATTACAGTAGGAGCCTCATATCCAGCAGTAATGTACATGACAAATAATTTATATACCATAAACCAGCATGGAAATACAGGCTCTAACTCCTCCTTTATGGCATGGTAAATTAAATCCCTTAGCTATCTGCAGGCGTAACATTAATTAAAGTTTTACTGACCAGTTAGGGTGTTCAGAGAAGATATAAAATAACCATGTTTCTGGAAGTGCTGGTTTCAGCTGCTTTGATTGCTGATTCCTTGGTCAAGGCACCTGCCTTGGCTCTTGATGCTGAGTGGGAGCGAGTGTCCCCTTGAACTCAGACCTGTGCTGAGCATTTTGGTGCTTTTGAAAGTTGTGCATTGAGCTGTGGGTGCTCTTAAACTACTGAGTTCTAGAGTTCTAAGCTGCGGGTCTGAACGGGCACTGGAGCTGGTGGGGATGTGTGTCCCAGACACCTTCAGCCTTGATGCTGCAGCAAGACATGGCCAAGATGGGATTGGCTTGGGGTTTATAATCTAAATACTGGGGGTTGAGTCTGTCCATTCCTTGTCACTGGCATCTGGGATCACCTGGACTGCCCTGGGGACTGTATGAGCATCCCTGTGGGGCACAGAGCCTAAAGAGGACCTTTTGCACTGGAGGTTTAGTGGCTAGTGGTTTAGTGGAGGTTTAGTGGGGGCAGAGGGCAGTTTTAGGGGGTGTATTTTAGGGTGAGCTGAATAATCTGCTCTGCCTTGCTCCGTGACAGGATGCAAGGCACCTGCATTCAGGTGTTACCATTTACACCTGCATCTTAACCGCTGCATTTTTCATCCCACTTCTTCCTCCTAGCACATCACATTAAACCCCATCCCACTTGTGCCAGGAGAAAAAGAGGCATCGCTAAACCCCAGATGCCAAACCCCCTGAGTTTTTCCTCTGGCTACATCCTAGTTGCAGGACAGCCCATCTGCAGACTGCAGCAAGCCATCTTCCCACGCTTGCCAGAGGCTCAAAAATTCCCAGCAGTTCCCCCAGCAAGGCCAGCTAGCTACCTGTGGTGAACTGGGCAAAGGCCGGCCGGCTCTCGTTGGCACCCCGCAGGGCGCTGACGGCGAGGTGGTAGCGGGCGCCGGGGCGCAGGGCCTGCAGGGAGTACTGGCTGAGGGGGGGCTGCAGGCGGAAGGTGGTCCTGCCGCCCTCCCCGTCCGCCAGCCCGTACTTCAGCAGGATGGCGTCCACCTTGGCGCGCGGCGGGGTCCACTCCACGAAGGCCACCGTGTCGGAGACATCCCGCACCAGGATCTGCGTCGGGCCGTCGATGACTGTGGGGGAGCAGGGGGGAAACGGGCACCTGTTATTTTGGGGGAGTTCGATGGGGAAAGGTGGAAGTTTTGGGGACACCAAGCTTCAGGGATGTTTCAACCTGATCTTCAGAGCAGCTGGAATTAGTATTTGGGCACAAGACATGATCCTGACCCCAAGATACTTAGGAGGTTTGGTCCTCATGGGTTCCCAGTCCCTTGTCCCAATCTCCTGGCTCTTTCCTGAACCCTCTCTGCTTTCTGTGGACACCAGAGCAGGACCCAGCAGCTCTCTCGTTGACACCCATTACAACCATAATGCAACTTATGCCCTTCTCTTGAGCTGGCTGTCAGCAATAACTCTTCTTTGGCTTTTTAAGGTGGTATTTCCCAGGATATAAAACTCCTATATCTAACTGCAACACACATTCTTTGCTCTTAGATAGCTGCTTGTACTTTTGCATTGAAAAACATGTAATTTTCCTTTGTGCCCAACTCGTCAAACCATCCAAACAACTTTTATTGATGTTCTTCTACACAATTTACTCTTTTCTGAGCATTTCCATCATTGGCAAAATTTATCAGCAACAGTATTATGTCTTTTGAAAGGTGTTGACAATGTGTTAAATAATGTGGGGCTAAGGACAAGATCCAAGTGTTGAGAACTGAGGAGTGTCTCGAAATGTTCCTGCTTTGGTGCCAGCTCCTGGTTTGTCCTTAAACTGAGGAATCAGCTCATAAAGCTGTTGGTGTCTTGGCAGTGGGAAGAGAGGAGAAAATGCAACTGCTCTGGTGAATCTTCATAACTAGCTGGGTGTGGGGCTATGGTTGGTGTCCAAAAAAAACCTTTCAGATAGAAGGTTTTTAGCTAAATTCATACCAGGGATCAACTGGAAGACCTTTATGGACATTTCTGCTCTTTTTTTCCAGAAAATTCGGCGCTTCCTTGCTCCACATCTCCCAACACTCAACCTTTGGGCATCCTGGGCTCAAGCCTGATTGATGGATGCTTTGAGTCTAGCAGGACTTAATCACTACATGGATGGATGGATGGATGGATGGATGGATGGATGGATGGATGGATGGATGGATGGAACGAGCCAAGCCTTGCCATTGCTCCGGTACCATGGCAGTGCTCATACATGAAGCCTGCTGGGCAGCCTGTGTTATCACTTAGATGCTCACAAGGTGGGTGGAAAAGCCCACTTTGGGTCTGTAATTTAGACTATACCATATATATATACCGATTATACAGCATATCTTGGAAAATGACAGTGTATAATAAGGATCTGCTGAATGCTGCACCTCAGGGTTGGGAGTTCTGGGGGACAAACATGTGGGCAGGGGTGGGAAGGAGCAGAGAGGGTTAGAAAAGAACAAGGAGGAATTTGGAGTAGTGAGGTGAGGTCTGGGGGCAAAAAAACAAAAGAACACAGCTGGGAAGCCCCATGTTCAGGTGGGAGCTGGCTGTCCAGCTTGGCCAGGACCAGGTCGTGCATACCCTCAATCTCCAACTGCTTCATGTTGTCCAATCATCCAGGTGATCCATATCTACTTACTTATCTGTGTGGCATAAAACCATGTCTTTGCTGGTTGATCCTGGCACAAGATGTTGAGGAAGAGCGAGGGTGGTGGGGATAAAGCTCTGGGGGTGCTGCAGAGGAAGGCAGACACGCCAGAACAGGGATGCCTTCACGCAGCACAGATCTGAGAGCCCACCACTCCACCTGCACTCCCTGCAAAGGTCAGCCCTGGAGTTTGAGGTACCAGCTTCTATTTTTGCTGACCTCCCAGGGTAAGGAAGTTTCGGGCTTGACCAGGAGATGTCTCTATTAAGCCACGTCGAGCTGAACGCGGAGGCAAAGCAGGAGGAGAGGACTGTGCTGGGGAGCTCAGACCTGCAACAGACTGCTGCGGTGGAGAGACCCTCCCTTCGCTCTCACCGCCGCCTCAATTAGCAGCACCTTATTACAACCCTCCGGCGGCTTTTTGTGCTGTTTCCTCTTGGAACAGCTCAGGTGGAGCCAGGAGATGTCTGTCTGCCTTTCAAGGCAGACTGCAACAGATCTGGTGTGAAGAGCCTCTTCTCCCCCGTGAGCTCTGCTCATCACTGCATCTCCTTCAGCAAAAAGAGCTGAATTTTCCTCTGGTCTGCAGGATGAACCAGTGAGTGGGCAAACAAATTGGTGTGGAAGGGACACGCTGTTGCTCCTGGCTCCCTGCCCTGCTGCCTGATTGCCTGAATAGGAGGGAGTTGAGGGCATTTAGTGGCACAAAA